TGGTTAGGCTAGAACTTCACCTTGGTGCTGTACAAACACATCAAAGCCAACCTCGGAGACCTGATCCCCAAGAATGTAGAAAGCTTTCCCGTATTGGTGAATTTATTCATTGTTTACCAGTTCCCTCAGTGCAAGGAGACTTCCATAGACAGAGATGGATTTCAAGGGCATGGATTTTCATGAGACATGACACAAATACCTTGAGATTTTGGTTTTGCCTCCAAAACGCAAGACCACTAGCTGCCATTCTTACAGTTAAAAAAGCAAATAAAATATGTCTCTATACACATACGCCACACACAGCCTCTCCCCCAAAAATCTCAATTACACATCCCCATTAGCTTTGTACCCATGACAATTTACAGCACTCATAATCTGATGTTAAATTCCCATAATAATGAAGCATCCATGGGGGGCAGGGGGAATCTAAGTGCAAGGATCATCAGAGTACCAGCTGCAGTGTCTGTGTGCCTACCCACTGATAATAAAGATTACAAGGGACAAATCAGCTTATAACATCCATACTTCTTTCCTCCCTCTGTGCAGACAGCTGGAACATCCCTGTGCTAAAAGCCTCTTTCAGATAAGATAGATGTTTGGTTCAGAACAAAGAGAAAATAATCAGTGTTCAGCAATGTCTTTTCCGAAACACGCACTCATGTGCGTGTACACACAGAGAGCTCAGAGCTCTTCGCTCAGAGCCCTCAAATCCCTCTTCAAACAGAGATGGATTGCTAAATCCCAGCACAGAAGTGCAGATCTGAGCTGATTTCAGGCTGGGCATGAGCTGGCATGGTGACATCAGACAACATATAGTCAGGCTTTTGCCTCAATCTACCTACAATTTTTTTTTAAATTCTCTCATTTATTTACCTTTCTGGGTCACTTACGTCTTTACTCTTCTGTGGATTGCTTCTTGATTCTCAGATATAGAACCCTCAACACCAGCCAAGTAGTTATTACTGCAAGCCTTGCTGCACAGGAACAGGGAAAAAAAACTGGTATTTGATGCATCTCTCATGTCTCAGACTTCAAAAAGGCTCCAAACTGAATACAGACCTTATTAATACAGGCAACAAATGAGGGAATTCTGTTCCCTGGAATGTACTGAAGAGTGTTTTGTTTAAAAAAAACCAAAACAAAACAAAACAACAAACCCCCCCCAAAAGCAACAACTAACAAATCTACCATAGGACATCCTTTCAAATTAACATCTGCATCTCTTCTTCTGCACAATGGCTGCAGCACACTCGTACAGCCAGGGACTCATTTCTAGCTCTGGTAAACCAAAAGGATGCACGCATGTTTCTGGAAGAACATGAAGTCCACAGCCAATTTCACAGACTCTAGAGATGGAAGGATCCATTGAATCATTTCACCAGACCTCCTGAATAAACCACATCCAACAGTTTCATCCCGTTATACCTGATCAACCAAACACAAATCTGAAAAACATTATTCCAATCTCAACCTCCATTTAGAACTGCCTGGTTTCCATGCAGAGTTGTGGCGTTCTAGGCAAGGCTAAGATTTTGTGCCAAGTTTTCAAATGCAATTTACTTTGAACACTTTTCTTCCCCTGTTTGACTGAGGCTGTTGCCTACTGGGGGGTGGGAGAGGAGGGTGATAAAAGAAAATCTAACTCTCATGTAAACAGCTTTTCTTTCAAGTTTAAAGTTATCATAAATTTTATAGCTACAGCAGGCAAGTGGCTCACCATCAGATAAAGTCACTATCATTGTCAGGGCAACTGGCAGATAAACTGAAGTTAAGGGATCCTGGATCCAAACTTGTGCTTTGAATAATACACAGCAATAATCTGATTAATATTAATTATGCCTCTGCAACACCAGCTTGTTTAGGAAAATACTATTGCAAATTCAGCCTCACAGAAATAAATCAGTGAGTTGCAAGTGAAGTTGCTTCAGAGCTTCCAAACCATTCCGAGCACAGAGCTGATCCCCCCACAAAGGCTGTTTCATTTGCACTGCCTGCCTCCTACCCTCTGCATTTTTAAAGCAACTAAAAAGCTCCTGATGTAACAACTCTTTCATGCTGAATTTCAACTCAAGCTCATGCCAGCATGAAAGCACAAGAGTTGGTCACCAACCATTCCTGCAACAATTCCACCCACAAAGAAAATTAAAACATGCTGAAATATGAAGTTCACTGCAAGACAGCAGCCATTTAACGCCAAATACTGCCTTAAATACACTAACTGCCATCTCCAGACATCAAATCAGCACAAAGCAATGAGACTGAAGCCAATGCAGTCCTATAAAAGAAAATGAATTTGCTCAGAAACAGGCCTTACTCAAGAACAGAATGCTGGGAAGGGAGGGAATTTTCTCTCTGTACTATAAATATCAACAGAGGGAGAAACCCAGCAACAATCTTAGCCATGCAAATATTTCCATACTTAGACATCAGCAGAATGTCTTCTGAATGTGCAGTTAATGAAGCAACCAAACTGAAAATAAAAAGCACATCCAAACCCAAGACAAGTTTCCCATGGGACAAATTGAGTTTTCCACTTTGGATTAGGTCTACTTTAAACTAGAAGTCTCAACAAATATTTGGGGGGGAGGGAAATCCCTCTCCTTTTCATAGAATCATAAAATTGTTTGGGTTGTAAGACACCTTTAAAGATCATCTAATCCAACCCCTCCTGCCATGGGCAGGGGCATCTTTCACTAGATCAGGTTGCTCAAAGCCACAGGGATTGCTCTGTATGTAATGAATCCAGTTTGCTACAAAAGCCAAAGGACATTCAACAAGTTTATTCCACCACCATTCACTCCGGCCTTCCAGGCAACATGAGGACATAAGGTCAGCTCAGTCTGACATCAATAGCCTACACTGTGGAAGATCCTACAGTTTGATTTCACAGTATTAGCAGAATTAATCCTCCCTTGCTAGTTATTCTCTTCAGAAAAGCAAATGAAACGCATGAGAAAAGCATTAGGTTTGGCTCCTGCAAACAAAAGCAAAACTAGAGCCCCCAGTCTCCCACTGTAGGTGGGAGGTTACGTGTGCACACAACCTACAAACTTTAGAATCATAGAATCATGTAACAGTTTGGGTTGGAAGGAACCTTAAGGATCATCTAGTTCTAATCCCCCTGCCATGGGCAGGGACACCTTCTGCTAGACCAACTTGCTCAGTGCCCCACACAACCTGGCCTTGAACACTTCCAGGGATGGAGCACCCACAATTTCTCTGGGCAACCTGTTCCAGTGCCTCACCACCCTCAGAGTGAAGAATTTCTTCCTTCTATCTGATATCAATCTACCCCCTTTCAGTTTAAAGCCATTACCCCTTCTCCTATCACTACATGCCTTTTTAGAAGTCCCTCTCCAGCTTTCTTGTAGGCCCCCTCCTTCACGTACTGGAAGGCTGCTGTAAGGTCTCCCCAGAGCCTTCTCTTCTCTGTGCTGAACAACCCTAGCTCTTTCAGCCTGTCTTCATACGAGAGGTGCTCCAGCCCGCTCACCATCTTCATGGCCATCGAAGCCGAGACCGAGTAGAGGGCATCTTTCACTAGATCAGGTTGCTCAAAGCCACAGGGATTGCTCTGTATGTAATGAATCCAGTTTGCTACAAAAGCCAAAGGACATTCAACAAGTTTATTCCACCACCATTCACTCCGGCCTTCCAGGCAACATGAGGACATAAGGTCAGCTCAGTCTGACATCAATAGCCTACACTGTGGAAGATCCTACAGTTTGATTTCACAGTATTAGCAGAATTAATCCTCCCTTGCTAGTTATTCTCTTCAGAAAAGCAAATGAAACGCATGAGAAAAGCATTAGGTTTGGCTCCTGCAAACAAAAGCAAAACTAGAGCCCCCAGTCTCCCACTGTAGGTGGGAGGTTACGTGTGCACACAACCTACAAACTTTAGAATCATAGAATCATGTAACAGTTTGGGTTGGAAGGAACCTTAAGGATCATCTAGTTCTAATCCCCCTGCCATGGGCAGGGACACCTTCTGCTAGACCAACTTGCTCAGTGCCCCACACAACCTGGCCTTGAACACTTCCAGGGATGGAGCACCCACAATTTCTCTGGGCAACCTGTTCCAGTGCCTCACCACCCTCAGAGTGAAGAATTTCTTCCTTCTATCTGATATCAATCTACCCCCTTTCAGTTTAAAGCCATTACCCCTTCTCCTATCACTACATGCCTTTTTAGAAGTCCCTCTCCAGCTTTCTTGTAGGCCCCCTCCTTCACGTACTGGAAGGCTGCTGTAAGGTCTCCCCAGAGCCTTCTCTTCTCTGTGCTGAACAACCCTAGCTCTTTCAGCCTGTCTTCATACGAGAGGTGCTCCAGCCCGCTCACCATCTTCATGGCCATCGAAGCCGAGACCGAGTAGAGGGCCCCACCTGGAGTACTGCGTTCAGCTCTGGGGCCCCCAATGTAAGAAGGACATGGACCTTCAGAATAAAACTTGGCATATTAAAGAGCATGTCAAGATTCAGGATCTCATCAGACGTTATAAGGGGGCATTGCATTTTAGATTCACCTGATTAAATGCACAAGCATTCAGATATTGCTTCTTGAACAAGCAGAAGTCCCAGTCACTTCAGTGAAAGTTTTGCCAGAGTGGAAAACCTAGGCAATTGGTTTTAAAAGGTGGCCATTGGTAACGCAGACACTCATGGCCTTCACCAGGAACTGCAAACAAGAGCACTCCAACCGTCACATCAAGAACTACCTGACCTGTAAACAAACTGGGTCGAAGGGACCACATGAAGCTCTGTAATGTTGTAGTCATGCTGCTTCTGATGCCAGATCCAGTTCATGGCAGCTCGTTCATCCACCCTAGCACTTCACCCATCTCCCATAATTTAGGCTCATTCAGAAATCCTTCAGAGATCTGACGGGTTCTTTCAGATCTCAGTCTGATGAGGACATGTCAGTTCATCCCCAAATTAGCTTAGTTACTTGCTGCAAAATTGGGGAAAGAATGGGGAGGGGAGGAAAAAACCATGTACTGACCTCGTGCATCGAAGAATTCATCATCGGAGCTCTCCACGGAGTCTTTGAGGACATTCTGCATGTGCCACTGAGCACCACTGAATCGGCGCGGGCCAGCTGGAAATACAGAGAGACACAGGTTAAATGAAGGGAATGCTCACCTCTGCTCCAGGCTTAAAGAAAAAAAACCACATTAATAAGCAGTTTATGTAGATGGCTCAGGAAGATCATTTTGGTCAACACACACGCTTTAATCTCAACAGTCAGCCAGAGCTTCAGGATGGCACAAAAATTACACCTCTTGCTTCCACCTAACAGAAGTGATTAAAACAAGTTCTTGTTAAGGATAAGTCTATGTCACTTCCAGCTAATGCAGCAACTTGAAAGATAAAGTCTTCGCTGTTGCATTCGCCAGGCTGCTCAATCCAACACTCAAACTGTACATTGTTTCTGAGACATGAAGCAGCATTTCCCCAGGACATGGCAGTGGCTCCCATTTAAACTCAATTTCACTTCTAAAAGAAGTGCCATCCTATTTGGCTCAAAGATTTACAGACAAACTACTGAATTCTCGCTCACTGAGCTGTTTTTGTCATACAGCTCTGTTTTGCTGGAGCCTGGGGCTCTCATTTGAAGTTTGCCATTTGACAACAGGAAGGCAAAACCACATTAAGAACAGGTACAGTAACAGACATAGTCGTAAGAGCTTAGATGGTTCCAATGGATTATCACGCTCAAACTAATTTGTAGTTAGTAAACCAGACCTGCCTAACTATACCAGTTCTTCTTACACCTACAGCAACCCAACTCTAGAAAGTAGTAAAGAAATATATTGCCTTATATTAACAATAAAGTCTCCCGCAAATCAGTGGGGAACCAGAGATCAAATCTACCATATCCATAAAAACACTACAGCTGTTGTAGAAGGGACCTTCATTACCAACCAGAATAGTGTCCTTGGTTTTATTCATTTCTCCAAATGATGACATCAGACCTGAAATCTAATATCCTGAAGCCCTGTCCACAAAAGCATTCTCCTTCTCCCACTGTTAAAAGAGCAACTCAAGCTGGGGAAGCATCCTTCTACATTATGCTGGGGGAAACATGCCAATTCGGTCACAGCCTTTTGTTCTACTTTTACTCCACCTATAGCTGAACTAATCAGAAATATAAATAAAAGGTGGTAGGAAGAAGCAGATTTTAGTTGGCCAAGAAGAGAGGAAAAAAACCCAATCAGTTAATAGCATTTTAATAGCTTAAAAAACCCAAAACAAACCCAAAGGTATTCAAAATAATTGGTTAAGTAGTCAGTGTTTATTACAGGCGTACAGTGTGTATTGGAAATGTGTCCAGTGATATTTGGCAGCTACCAGAGACTGCATACAGATCATTACATTTACTGTTAGATTTCTGAAACCTTTTACTAATGATAGGGAACAGCAAACAACTACCCTTACCAAACACCATCTTGCTGTACCTACATTCAAATATAAATATATATATTTATGTCTATCTCCTAAAACTTATCACTATAGTCATCAAAATAGTGGTAGAAAGAACACTATTCTGAACTTCTAATGAAGAAAAGTCTGCAGTTGGTCAATGTTTGGAAGAACAGGAATCCCAAAATTTCAAAGCACGAGAATGGGAAGCACCACAAAAAAGCCAAACAGACAGATGGGAAAGGGAGAATTTGCAAGATTCAGTCTTTGGATAAGAGCCCATGTGCTACAGAAGAGCAGAAGGAGGGAATAATTTGCCTCACCTTTGGAGATGCTAGATCTGAAAAGCAAAATATAATACTGTTAGTCTTAGTAGAAAATTCAGTAAACTACTCCTTTTTAGCCTTATGTCAAATATGAGATTCCTGATCACAGGCCTTAAGATCTATGAGCAGCCAGAAAGAAGGCAGTAAACCAGAAATTTATGAAGAACCTACAAATGAGAGGCAGGTCCACAGAACATGAGAGAGACAGAGAGAATGACGAGAAGGCAAAGGGCTGCCTTGAGCATCTCAAATGTGTTCAGAATTTTCCTCTGCAAGAAAACAGCTCCTCACTCAGCTACTCTGGTCAATCAAGTATCTGTAACTGAAGCTGAATTTCTGTGCTATGGATGTTTATTAAACCACAGGAACATCCAAACTAAGACAGTCAGACTTCATTGGTAACACACACTTAATACGTTTTGGGGTCCTGTAGATGCAGACACTCCCATACAGAACACAAATTTCACGCTGAAAAAATTCTGCTCCACTTTTCCAGACCAGATATCTGTACTGATGATAGTTCTTCCAAGGCTAAAAACTGAGGAGTCCAATTTTCCTGTATTTTGAGCATTCAGTGATTCCACAAGAAGCCAGAGGGCTACATTTGCAGAAACAAACAAACAAAAATGCCACAACCAGAAGATACACTCTTATGGCAGCAGATAATTTGTTTTGAAGAGACATTTAGGGGGCCTGACTTTCAGAATTTAGTTTCTCCGCACTTTTTAAAGCCATATAACTGCATGTGTCATACCACAAAGGCAGGTATCCAAAGCCAGCAAACACTGGGAAAAAGAACAAACAAGTATTGGGCATTTTGGATAATTATTTTGTCTCATCATGATTTTAAAGATCCTCCAATTTCTGTTAATGTCAGTCAGCTGTATTTCCCATGGATTGGTGAAATCCCACTCAAGTGTGGTCTTTGGCTTCCATAATTCTCCAGCAAAAACTTAAGATTTAAGACCAGATGCTTCTAAACCTGCTGTAACCCGTATGTCTTTTGAGGTATCACCTGAATTGTCTTCCAGCAAAAAGAGGTAAAACCAAAACAAGTAGGTTTACAGAATCACAGAATGGTTGAGGTGAGAAGGGACTCGTGCGGTTCATCTGGTTGAGAAGAAGCTGGCTCCATCTTCTTTACACCCTCCCTGCAGGTACTTGTTTAGCTGGTGAGAGCAATACCATAGAAGAAACATTAATGAGTACTGCTGTCACCTCACCTCTCCGTTTCCCAGACTACCTTCCCAGTCCACTACACTCAAGACCAATACACTTCAAACTTCTACAGACTACTGTTAAATAAAGGTGTCACGGCTGATACCCATGACTACATTCCCTAGCTGCTGCAAAGAGTGTTGATCCCAGCAAAGCAAAGAACATTCTTCCCCCTCAATGATGCAGACCTTCCAAGGCCAGCCCACTAACAGTAATTACAAGAATACAGCTGATTGCATTTAAATCCCCACAGGGTGCAGGAAACTGCTACTGAAGCCATGTCTGACAGTCTCATTAGAGAGAGAACACTAAACAAAAGCTTTAAAAGTATGTTTCTTCTAATTGAAGCAGTGGTACTAATAAGTGCTCATTTCACGTTTTCACCTTTTTTTTTACCTCTGTTCTTATTCCTGTTTAAGTAAACCTCAAAAACAATATACACTGTTTTTAAAGGCTGCAATTTTTTAAACCATCACACCAATATGGAAGAGTTAGTTCAAGCTTTTTATTTAACACAGTAATGTGCATATTTAAATTGTTTGTTAAAAAATACCACTTCAAAAGCCCTACACAATACACCATCAGGCATTAGGATCACACTTGGCCCTGTATTTTTTTTTCTGTCAAGCATCCACTTGAAAAACTCTCCAATTATGCCTCCACCTGATACAGTAAGTATGATTCATTGAAGACTCATTCTTCATTATGATTATTCATTTACTATGATTCATTGATACAGTAGAGCAACCTTCAAGACTTCATAGCAGCCACTACTTTTCCTCAACTCCCAGTTCCCTTAAAAATAAAGATAAATTTGTACTCATTTTAAGAGAAAAAGATTCTCACCCTGAGGTGTTTCCAGACCAAAACAAGAAACAATAAAGCCAAGATAAAGAACCGTGTACACAGAGGATTTTGCAAGCATGCAGATAAGAAGCCTTGTGTCGTGAAGGAAGCATCCTAGAGAGAGAGTTCTTAATGTGTGCCTCAAGCTTACATTGCTTAATTGCATAAAAGGCACAAAACGGCACGGAACTTGATTGGAAAGGGAGCAACCCACAAACCTGTAATGGCAATGGTGATGGAGGAAGCATAAGCCGGACAAGACATGATATTGGGGAAAAAAGGCATTGGAGATGAAGGAGAGTGAGGACACATACAGACCTGTGTATGAAAAGCTCTGCATGCTTTGGCTAGGTCAGACAACGTAGCCCAGTAGCAACGCAGTGGGCAGATCTGAGATTTACAACACAGGACTCTGCCCAAGCAAGCAGACTGTGATCCTCAAGCACCCTTCATTTAAGAACCTCCCAGTTAAATCTTTCCTCATCGCCTTGGGTCAGATCTTTAGCTCACATGCTAGCAACCCCAAGGAATCAACATGTCTATGTTAATTTGTCCATTTGAATACGAAAAAGGTGTGTTGCATAAAGTTTAAAACCCCTCTTTTTTTCATTCTAGGAAAACCATATACCTGCATGTGACAGAAGATGTTTTAAAGATAATCATGAAAAATAGTCTCCTATTGCAGTGGCCCCTGCAGATTTTCACACTGCAATCTAATTTGGCTTTCAGTGTTTACTACCAACAAAGAACACTCTAAGAGTTCCGAGACAGATTATAATCACGGAATGGTTTGGGTTGGAAGGGACCTTGAAGATCATGTGGTTCCAACCCCACTGGCATTGGCAGGGACACCTTCCACTAGACCAGGTTGCTCAAAGCCCCATCCCACCTGGTCTAGATGATTCTAAAGCTCTAACAAGTTTTATAGAAGTTTTATCTTTTTTAAATCAAAATGTTGAAATAGGACACATCTTAACTGCTTTGAGTTTAGAGGACTTTGATTTGAAAGTATTGAAAAGTTGACCTTCCTATCCAAGATTCTAATTTAATCTTACCAGTTAATAGGAGTTTTACATCCCAACAAGAAAAGGAAGCTTTAGCAGGTCTATTTTATGGACAGGCACTCCCAGGCACAAATGACGCAGATGGATCCAAGTCTCATTTTTGTCACTGAACTCCCTATACAGTTGCCTGACGATGAAAGGCTAAGGGAACAGGACTTGTTCAACCTGGAAACGAGAAGGCTCCAGGGGGAACGATAGCAGGCTGTCAGTGCCCATGAAGA